TCCTCGGAGACTTTCGCCCAGCGCCGTCGGGCTTCCAATGCGACTGTCTTCACCGTCTCTCTTCTGAGCTCGTTCATCGTTGTAGTTCATCGAATCAATATCAATGGCGACTGAAGGAATGCGTTGCGAACGGCTGATTATATTATCACCTCTGAGCCTGTAACTCTCCTCTCATACTACACAGTCAACGCGACCTTCCTCCCACCAAAACCCGACTTATACGCCGAAGGAGGCAAGTCTCGCGTCAATCAATAACAATTGAACATCCGCCCATTTTGGGCGTCGTGTTGTCATGAGCAGTGCTCTTCCAGGATCACGTTGTTGTTGTGGAGTGGTGTGGCCGGGTAGCTTTTGACTGATGCGCTCGATGAGCTGCACGGTGAGCTATTGCATTCGCCCTCGCTGTGTGTCACACGATCACAGTGAACTTCATGGTCCGATAAGTGCGACATCGAGTGTCCTCGCGGCTTGGAGCTTGTCCAGTCACTCTCCTGCCGCGGTAAGCGGTACTCTGACTTGGCAGGTGGACGCCGGGACAACAACGAAGACTCGCTCGTAAGGGATAAATTGTCGGCGAGTCGGGCCGCCACATCCGCATGTCTTTCTTCGTCGGCTCGTGTCTTCGGTTTAGCGGTCGTACTTGAAGCACTCGGGGTGCTGGCATTAGGCAGAGCTACACTAGGACGCAGCCCCGGCTTCCCACATCGCTTACGCATCCGGATCTCCAGTTCTTTCTCGATACCGACAAAGTATCGGTTCATGGCATTCATGAATCGTCGGCGGTATGAAGTGGGGCTGATTACCGTCGGATCTCGGAAAGTCAAGCTCGCCTTGGACGTCGACTCCATCTTCTTTAGAAAGTCAAATTGATGCAAGTAATCAATCAGTCCAACGATAACTTGGCGTTTGTCCTCGTCAAAGCGCAGCAACTAAAAAGATCCAGAACAGCACATCGTTAGTAAGCACCGGAAGTAATCAACTGTAACTTCAAGTCTGATGGGAAGGCAAACAGGACTCACCAGCGAGTAGTCGATGACTCCAGCGCGATACAAAAACCCGGTGTCGCTCTGAATAGCAGCCTCGATTATATCAAGGTCCGGTTGAGCTACTGGAACCGGCATGCGCTCGGAAAAGTTACCATCCAACAGCACCGGCAAGTTCATGGACACTTGCACGTTTGAAACGCTGTTGAACGATTCGTGGCGGTCTTCCTCGTCGCTGCTGGAAGCGTAGTATCGACGTCGGAGAATTCCTTTCAAGTCGTACATTTGTCCTGGTGGGAAGCCGTACGAAAAGTTCTCCATGATCACCACGTACTCCGTGTGCTTCAACAAGCGTCGGCTGTGGCTGAGCTTGAATAGACCGACGATTTTCGTGATCACCGTTGGCATCGGGACCTCTACCACGCGCGAAATAAAGTTAAAGTACTTCGGAGCCATGTGGACAAACATGTTGAACTCGACCACGGAGATTCCCTTGAGCACGTAGCGTTTATCATGCGTCTGTAACAATAACACAATAAGTGCGTTAATACAGACTGTCAGGTTTACAACAATGGTCCAAACAATCGACGTACCATCGAAAAGAACGCGCCCGACTTGCCTCCACTGGTATCCCACCTCTTGCTCTCAATGATTGAGTTCAAAAACTCGACGTTCCCCGGAACGGTAAGCGCACGCAGTGCGTGGAACTGTGCTGCAAAATACGCCACGCAACGAACCTCGTGGTTCGTAGAGCCAACCGCGTAGGAAAACTTCATAGACGTATGCTGCAAGTCCGTCGAGCGCAACTTGCTTAAATAAATCACCTGCTTCTTGTCAGCCACAGTCACCGAGTTTGTGGCAGTAGTCGCATTAGAACTTGGAGACGCATCGCCCGTCGATGTGGGGATGTCTGGAGCATCTTCACTTTTCGGCGGTGACGGAGCGGACACTTCACTCACGCCCATGTTCTCAGACGCGTGCAGTTCTTCAGTGATATTCACCTTATGCTCGAAATGGGCTTCCAGCTGATCAATATACGCCGGCGAGCAGAGAGTGTAGCCGATTAGCGAGCCAATGTCCTTGTCGTGAACCTTCACCACGTAGCCATTCACGCCGTTTGGGAGGTCGAAATGGCCCTCACGTAATCCTGCCGGTATTTCGGTGTACGGCTTTATCCTGATAGCATCAGATGCGTGTAAACTGTGGTTATTGTAGCTCACAGGAGAGCTGATGGTACGATTCGACTCCGGAACAGACGAACTGCGCTTGTCGTGCCTCGCGAAAATGAGCGAATTTGGCCGCTTGATCTCAAGAGAAGATCCCGATGTGTACGATAACTCCAGTTTCCCCACGGTCGAGTTCGATGTGTTAGTTGATAGAGCGCTGTCGTCACTTAGACTAGGCTGCTGATGGTCTTTCTCTAAAGACGCACCGTCCGTAAACCAGTCCAAGGGAATACGACGCTTTGTAGGCGACTCGGCCACAATCTTCTTGATCGTAGCATGCTCCTGGGATGGAGCCAACGAAATGACACTCTCACGGAGCCGACAAACCAGTAAAAACAGCTCCTTCAGCAGCATATTGCATCCAAGAACGTTGGTACGCTCCGATTCGAGCGTCGCCTTTGCGTCTACTCGAAATGATGCGATAGATGCATCCACTTCAGTCCGGAGTCTCTGGATCTCTTTCATAGGTACACAAGGCACCGTCGACGGTAGAAATTCCTGCGCCGTGCATAGATTTTCCTCCAGGATAGCAATATTCTCGGATATAAAGGCGGCAGCCAGCTCAACTTTCGAGTCGAGAATTCCAGTGAACTGCTTCACATAGTCACGACGGCAGATTTCGTCCGTTTTGCGTTTGGACTGCATCGTCGACGAGATGAACTTGTACGGTCTCCATGCTCCACGATTGTGCTTTTGTTTAGCGCCGTTACTTTCTCCATTCATTTCGTTCACCATCGAGGAGCTGACTATGGATCCGTCCTCATCAGTAGATGAGCGCATGCGTCGGAAACTGCGACTTCTTGTACTCGATCCACTTTCCGATTCATCCGCAGCGAAAAATGACGCTCGACTACGTACAATCATCTCACTGAGCGCTGAGATCCAGGAAGCCCGGGATGTGCCGTCCACTGCATTTAATCGTAACGTACGCTCTCCATTACATACCGAGAACTGGAACTGACGCGGCTTGGACGACTCCTCCACCAGCAGCGTCGTATGTCTGTCAATCAGCTCCTCACTTACTTGAATCATGGACGCTCGGTCTCTTAAACACACAAGACTGCTGGAATCCCATCGCAATAAAAAGTAACGCAGCTTCCAGCTCCGTGATAGCGTTCCCCGTAGACCCAGCCACCCTTCTTTCTGAATGTCGTCGTCTGTAAAGTCCACACGCACGAAATTCGACGATCTTTTCGTGGATCCAAGCTGGAAATACGCCTTCAACGAGTCTCGATACACGCGGTAGTATCTGTTTGGGCCCTGCGTATCGGACAGTCTGGATTCACGCTCGTACGTCGGTGATGGCGCTGTGCTGAGTCTTGACTGCTCCGAATCGGCTTGTACTGCGGACAATGGCGTCCGTACGCGCGTACGGATCCACCTACGCCGTCTCAGGAAGTGATAGTAACCGCGCTTGACCTTACTTGTGCCCTCAGCTAGACGACAGTTGATGCGTTCAATAGACGAGCCGTAAGTCCATCCTTCCTCGTCGCACTGCGTGTAGTCGCTGTCGGGCATCCAGTCGTGGCTCCACATCCAGTCGGAAGAAGGTAGCACGCCCACCTCAAGCTCAGGAGCCTCCCGGACGCCATTGAGGCGGTCGTCGCGGTCCGAAACGCGCAGTGCGACGCGAGTCAGTGCGTGATACGTGTTGCCACTGCGGTCACAGAAGCGCTCGAGCGTCCAGCCATGGAAAGGCTGCAGCACCTGCACCTCAAAGGCCTCCTCGACCACCGAATCCATTCGGCGCTGCGTCCTGATGCGGCCCGGACTGCTGCTCGCTACTCCTGTTGACACTCCGCACGCTTCGAAGACTAATTGGCAGTGGAAGTGAAAGAGAGAGCGCAAAAGAGGGGGGCTACTATTTGAGGGAGGCCTAACCCTGTCGTCGACGTTACATTTGTGGCCAATTATGCATGCGTATGGCCGAGAGAGATTCATGTTTCAGCCAATGAGTGGAGACAAGTTGACGCCTGCAGACGGGCGCGGAACTGCGTTTTTTGACAGATCGCAGTGCAAATAATGGCTAGGAGGCGAGGCGGCGACGACTTTTTTTGCCTCAAGAACTGCTGCCGTAGTGCTGCCGTCGGCGACATCAACTCAAATACTGCTGTCTTCGCCTTAATGGGCTCCGATTCATGGTGGTTGCTGGGAGTTTCGCGGTACAAAACGTAACTGACAATGGTGCCCCGGCACAATGCTACAGATACACATAGACTGGTCTCGTTCCACCCAGCAGTACGAGCCAACACCAATTGCATTTGCTCGAGCAGAGCTTCGAATAAATGATGTTTGCGCGCTTTGGATCTCGAATGAGCTCATGTATCCTGCGCGTCGGTGATCATTTAATGATTCATTGTCCTCGGAGACTTTCGCCCAGCGCCGTCGGGCTTAACCCACGGCCTATCTTGCCAAAAATATCCAGGCAAGTGTCCCATCCCCGTTTTGCCTGTCGTCGTTGATGGACACTTCCTGTCCGCCAAATCAGGGATTCAGTCCAGTACCATCATCTTTCACGATTACACTGGAAATGACAGCGAGTTGACCTGCGGGTCCAGCGTATCATCATCACCGTTATTTGTGGTTTCCATCAAGACGACTGCAAGTCAGGATTCTCATTAAACTGGCACAAGAATCTCAAGTCAGTTTGCGCTGTCCGACGTCGGTCGGTGCTGTCCCAAGCACGCGACCGGTGTCCGATTGTTCGTCTCCTTTTTGGAGACCGTTCGTTCGACCACCGAGATCCGGTTGTTGACTAAGAACCTGCATTAGAAACAAGTCAAACTCGCTATCAATGCTAGAGCGAAGCAGCGATAAAATGCATTATAGATGTCTTGAGCTGTCCGTCGCTCTGGCCTAGTGCACGTTAACCTCACGTCGGATGACATCGACCACCTCGTCATCCTCAGCCTCAGCGGAGTCGTGCTCGTCAGCCGTGTTAACGTTGCTAAGGTTTCCGTGGCCGAAACCTCCTTTGCGTGGACTGCTGTTGTCGCCGTACTGGCACAAATTCGTAAGCAACGGGATCAGATATTTGTTGTCGAACTGCAGTGCTCGCATGTGCCGGTGAGGCTTGACCGTCTTGTCGAGCGCCGCCTCCTCCTCAGCCTGTCCATTCGAGACAAATAACAACAAAGAGGCAGTATCATCAGCTGCTGACGAACAACGCGTACACTACGGTCATGTCTTACCGTCAATCGTGGGATGCCACACTTGTCGAGCACCGCAACGGTGCCGCCGCCCATGATGATGATCGATAGCAGCACAACAATCAACGTCGTGGCCACAATTTCCGGCCGCTTTTCGCCTGGAAAAGATTTGGATAACGCGAAGGCCACAGCACCGCGCATACCGCCGTACCAGATCACATGCTGCTGATTCAGTGTGATCTTGGAGGCATTTTTGCGCAGATTCAGCACGTAGGAGAGTGAGTACACCGCACACCCTCTAGAGAATAAGCAGAAGGTTGCCATCCAGACGATAAGCCAGAATCGGTAGTATTCCGTCAGTCCAAATGCTGATAGCCCCAGGTCTGTCAAACAAAGGAAGTAATTTGTTAGTAGATCGACAAAAATATTTGTTTGGTCCCTGCACGTACTCAAGAACACCGAAGTTTCAGCCATGTGTGATAGCGTGTTGAATACTCCAGAGCATCTACAAGTTCATAAACACACAAACATCAGTGCAGATCACATAGCCATACCAATCAGAATTCGTAGACTTACACGTCACGAGCTTCCGGGGTCAGGTTGGGCGATGCGTAGTGCTTCATGGAGACACCAGCGAAAATGACAGACACAACTCCTGACATCCCCAGGACTTCGGATACAACAAAAGGTATGTAGGCGAACATGACGAAGACGCCTACTTCGTGCAGTAAATTGCTGCGCAGGTTGCCATACTTGAAGAGTAACGCTGGAATCATGCCAAAAATGACTCCGATCATCGTTGATCCTGTAAGCACCAAACCGAACTCGAAGATGGCGAATAGCATGGGCTTGAACTCGTACGAGTGGCCGATGAAGCGGGAAAACGTCTCGAAGAGGCAGATTGCCACCGCGTCGTTAAGCGAGCTCTCTCCGAACACGAGGTAGAATAGTGTCGGGTCAACGTGGAGCTCCTGAAACACAGCCAGGATGGAGACGGCGTCGGTAGCGGAGATCAAGGAGCCAAAGGTAAGTGCCTCCGCCATCGATAACCTCAAGACCCAGCCGAAGCGACCGACAGTGTAGATGCTGATGCCCGTGACGACACTCATGATGAGTGTACCGAGGATCGAGTAGACGAGGATCGGTGTGATGTTCTCGAAAAAATAGCGGCGCTTCATGGTGTAACCCGAGTTAAAGATAATCGGGGGTAGCATGCCGACAAAGAAGAAGTTGGGGTCGAAGTCCATGAGCTGCACCGCGATCGTGCTCGAGTTCATGAGCATGCAGAAGATGCTGGCCAGGATGCCAACGCCGATGGTCGCGGCAGCTTCGGGTAGGAAATGCCAGTGTAGTTTGTGCGTCACATGGTTGCACAGGATGATGGCGATCATTAGCAGGAGCAAGAAGGTGGCGAACTGGAACGCAACCGAGTATTCCTCATTGATCTCCTCGATGATGTGTTCATCGTATGAAGACGTCATGAATGCGATGAGATCTCTTAGACCTAGCGACGAAGTCTCTCGAGTGTCTCTGAACGCGCACTCCGATTGCAGACTGCCTCAAGCGTCGTCAGCACTCAGCGGTCTCTAGAAACCGCCACACAAGGATCCTGCTTGTTGCTGGACTCGAGAATGCCATGTACTAAGGGGTCGCCAGCTATTCTCGGCATCCAGCGGAAGCTGCTCAGACGCAACCTGATCGAGATCGCGTTGGCTATGGATCTGACGTCCATAGAAGGTAGATAGATACCAGCCACAAACTGTCTTGTGGAGGTAGATCCGCGCGAGGATGCCACGCTAGTGTCGACACACGCGGATGCACCCGAGTCGCTCAGTGGCAGAGACTCATGCAGCCTGTCAATGCGGTCACTTCGGTAATGATTCTGAATTATTGTGGGCGATGCGCTGATTCGCTCTGCCATTGGAGATATTGGTAGTTGCTTTGAAGTGGCCAGTACGCACAGCTTCGAAGCCAAGCACGCCACTGTTGCGGGCAGCAAGCTTGCCGCGCTTGATACACGTTATGTGGCTGCCAAGCCGTTATGTTGCCGTTGCTGAACGCGCCTAGCCGCGAGCTAGAGCTTGCGATAGGAGCACATTGCCATCGACAATTCCATCTCTTGCTGACAACTCCATCCGCATTCTGGACGCCGAGTCAGCTTTTGTGCCTGCGACTACTTCTGTACTACTTCAGTACACGTTACTTTATGCGCGGTACTTCACATCAAACGGCGCCTCTCCCGCCTGCCTGAGTTGAGTGAGCCAAAGAAGGAAAGAACCTTCAGGGCAAGGGCGGCCAGCTCCAGCGCTAGACGCATCTAGCTGCCAGCTGCATAAGCCAATCAGCCTCTCCAAGACAAGCACTCTGGAAAACGCCAGCGACTGTCAGTTGTCGCCGCATTCGCAGTCAACCAACGGTTGCGTGGGTGGTGGTTACGCGGTTACCGGTAATTTTCTCCCCGAGAGATCTACCGCTGCTTGAATAGTTCGCTAAGGCACCAGATCCAAACTGCACCATGCTCTTCGGCTCGCAGTACGACGAGGACGGCGGCACCGACCATAGCGGCAGCTCCACGACGCCACCGCAGTCGGTGCGCAAGAAAAAATCTGCCGTCTCCTCCCGCAAGGGCAAGACAAGTAGCCGACGCGACAAGACTCGCCCCAGTATGGCCGGCGCCGCCTCCGCTGTCATCGCTGCTGGACAGAGCAGCCCTACGCGGTCTTTCGACTCGACCAACTCGTCGTCTGCGTCCTCCATGTCCTACTTCCCGTCCAACCAGCGCAACGGGGGCACCAGCAACTTCAACTACTCAAGCTTTGGGGACACCAGCGTGACCGGTAATGGAAATGGTATTGCCACGGTGAACACGCCGACACTGGTGTCTAAGACGCGGCGACGCGTCTCCAAGAAGAAGGCCGAGAGAATCAAGAAACCCAAGCGACCAGTGGACCGTCAGTGCATGTATCCAAGCGTGTGGAAGCAGCTACAATTCCGCAAGAAGATCGTGCAGCTCGCCTCTAATCTGAGTGAGAAGCCCATCTGTGTCACAGGCGTGGACGGCTTTTTGGCCTCGTGGATCGTATGTGAGCTACTCAACCGCGGCTACCGCGTACGCGGCACGGTGCAGAACGGCAAGGACGACATCTCGGGCTTGCTACAGCTCCCGAACGCCAGCAAGAACTTCTCAGTCGTAGAGACGTCGCTTCTGACGCCTGAGGCGTGCGACATGGCCGTCCAAGGTGCGTGCGTTGCTGTCCAATGTGATGTCTAAGATCTTTACATCTGATAATTTACTGTATTTGGTTCCACAGGGTGCGACTTTGTGATCCACACGGGCACGCCGTCTTCATGCTCGGTGCGAGACCCTCTATCCGAACAGCAGGAGCCTGGAGTGCACAGTATTGGCAGTCGGATGCACTGCATCATTCCCATGATGACGAACTTCATTCAAGCCTGTGCACGTTCACGCATTAAGCGAGTTGTGCTGACCTCGTCCATTGCTGCGATGGCCGACTCGGTGACGCCGGACTCGATCATCAATGATGCCTGCTGGAACGTGACGTCGTCGCTGGAGAAGAATCCGCATTTCTTGAGCTTAAAGCTGGCCGAGGAAGCGGCCTGGCAGCTTGTGGATCAATTGCCCAGTGATCGTCGTATCGATCTGGTGACGATGAACCCGGGAACGTTGTTTGGACCGATGCTGTCGAAGTCGAAACTGGCGCCTGGAAACCAAGTCATTTACGACCTGATTACGGGCCAATACTCGGCGCTGGTGGATCTGAATTGGAGCATGATCGACGTTCGTGACTGTGCTGTAGCCCATATTGCTGCCTTGGAGAACAATGACGCTCGTGGGCGATACATCTGCGTGAACAGGAGCGTCTGGATGAAGGAGATTGTCGAGATTTTATCCAACAATGGCTACAGTGGCCGTGATTTGCCGTGGAGAGTGGGTCTGCCTCGCTGGGTTGGGCGGTTGCCTGCGTACTCGATCCAGCTTGGACAAGTCGGCGCGTCATTGTATGCGTACGATCCTACCTCCGTCCGATCTTCGCCATATCTTGGCGACAAGCTTGTGGAGCATCTGAATGTTCGTTTCCGCACAGTCGACTCGACGCTTGTGGAATCGGCGAATGATCTGTTGAAGTGGGGGCTCATCAAGCCCTGGGCTGAAGATCACGAGGCTCTCGAGTGCGGATGCTGCCACAATCCGTTCACATTCTATCGAAGAAAACACCATTGTCGGGTGAGTTTCTGGCGAGTTGTTAGTGGTGTATGATGAGTATGAACTTACAGGTTTTTATGTGTTTTATTCTGCAGGAATGTGGTGTGATTATTTGCAACGACTGCTCCATGTCTCGAGCTGTTGTGGAAGGCACAGAAGGACGCGCTCGGTTGTGTGATAAGTGCGTGAAGGGATCGATTCCAGACCTGCTCGAACTGTTGAGAGATGAAGATCCAGACAAGAAGCGCACGGCAGTGGTTGCGTTGGAGTCGTTGATGGAGAACCCATTGAATCACGACTACGTCACTCGTTTCGGCGGCATTGTGCTGCTAATGGACGCGATCCACCACCCTGACGAATCTATCTCGTCGCATGCTGCTGGAGCGTTGTGTGCGCTGTCGTTAAGCGTGGCCAGCACGCTCCAGATGGTACTTGAAGGAGCAGTCTTGCAGATGCTGGAGGTCGAGGAAACGCTTAGTACGTGGGCTATCTGCCTACAAGCTCTTCGCAACATCTGGAAACAGATCAACCGGCAGGATTTCCGACGGATGCTGCACGCTGTGGCTCGTGTATCTGCTGACGCCAATATCGGTAGGGGAGTACGATACGAGTTGGTGGTTTGGGCTTGTTCTAATGACTTGTATCTGTTTTCGGTGCATAGGCGAACTTCGGGGTAACATTCTGCTTACGTTTGTGCACATGATGGATGCAGAGGAGGTCCCCACTCTTTTATCCGAGGGACTCCTGTCGGTGCTGTATCACATGCTGCAGTCTACTGCTGAGTTCCCACGTTGTGCAGCTGCGCACGCAATAAAGCACTTGGTGCCTGCTGGATATGACCCGGATGTGACCATCGATGTGCCGCCCTACGTCGTGGATGACCACGAGGAATTGTTCCTGAATTCCTCACTGTCCGATCTTCAGTTCCTCGTCAAAGGTCACATCGCGCCGATCAATGCACACAAGGTCGTGCTGTTCTTCCGCAACTCGTATTTCAAGAACATGGTGAGAGTGAGTATCGTTTGCATGCCCTTCAATATCTTTTCTTTGCTACACGTCCACTATGGTATGCAAGGTGCTAACAGTTTTTGTTCATGTACAACAGTTTGGCACGGCAACCAGTCAAACTGCAGTCATTGAAGTCGACAACTGCAGTTATGAAGTCTTCTCGATTTTGCTGCGGTTCCTGGTACGTTTTGCTGATATAGTCGCCGTAAATAAGCGCTAATGGTAGATGCTTTGGTATGCAGTACACTGGCAAGGTGGACATTACAGCAGATGTAGCTGAGGAATTGCTGCGAGCATCGTCGTTCTACTGTGTTTATGAGCTGCAGAAGCGTACGGAGGCATTCCTAAGCGGCCAGATTTGTGTGGAGAACGTGGTGGACTTGTTGACGCTGTCTGAAGAATGCAACGCCGACGATCTCAAGAAGAACTGCGTGCCGTTCTTGATGCGACACATTCACGAAGTCGTTCGCTTGCCTGCGTTCGAGGAACACCGTGTGCGTTCGAGTGAGGAAGTACTGAAGGCTCTGACGAATATGCTTGGGCCAGAGTGGGAAGTAAGCTACGCGAAGTTCAAGAAGTCCATTGGGATTAAGGACAAGGACAAGGAAGACGAGGAGCCTGTGGAGGCAGAGAAGACGGACGAAGAGGATGAACCACAACCGACAGTGCACCAGGTGAACGAGATCCAAGAGGCCCCACTATCGCCGCGTTTCCTGCTATCACCCGTGCCTCCTCCCAGCTTCTCGGGCAACACATCCGCATTTGCGACGGAGTCACCGCGGCTGAATACCGTGGGAGAGGACAAATTGACCGAGGGAATCCAATTTATGAAGACTTTTGGCAACGAGGACGTGCTCTTCCGACGTGCTCGCAACATCTCGGAGGACTTTTCGGAGGGGTTATCGGAAGGCGTGTGCTAGTTTTAATGATTTATATGAGCTGAAGGCGGATGGACGATGTGTGTGCCTGACAAATAATCGATATGAAGCTTGCAGTTGCAGTTGTTGGTATCATCTTATTCTCTTTTGCAACGGCCTTTTAGTTTAGAGCGTCACGGTTAGCTTGAAATAGCGTCACGACACAAACCACAAAACAGATTACAATTTGTAATATACCGATGTAAATACGGTATTTAATACAGTCTATCGTATCTTTTCGAATCAAAACTGGTTTTAATATGCAAATAAGACCTGTTTTTGCACCAATTTTCTTCTCAGGAGAACAACAGACACAAGCATTCCGCAGGCGCGTGCCTTGATGGGAACAGAGCTGCTGTAGATCCCAATGGACGTCGCCAGGACCAGGGCACAGCAGCACGCGGACGAGGAACACAAGGCGCGCGGCGACGTCGTGGTGCGCGTTGGGGACGCGTCCTCAGGCGCCGTCCACGCGGTGGCGCTGGCCTCGACCAAGTACGTAATTCCGCTTCCACTTGGGTTAAAACTGCACCAATTCGCCCATAGAAAACTTGCACCTGCTCATACAATCTTCTATATATTTGTCCGCCTAAACAGTGTCGTTGTCGAGGAGCTACGAGAGGAGCTGGAGAGACTCAGCGGCGTCCCCGTTGCCGATCAAATTTTACTGGGCGGTCCGCCCTTCGCGCGGCTAGACCCTCGCCGCGCTGTCGAGTACTATGGACTACCAGCAGTAAGCTACAACTCGCTAAGTTAAGTTATTTCAAGTTGAAGAGAAGGTCTCATGACGTTTACTGCTTGCAGGAGGACAAGGAGGTGTTTTTGTACGACCGCCGACTGCTGTCACAAGAGGCGGCCACGCCTTCACCCACAGCGGCAGCTCTAACTCCAGTCCATGTCGAGTGTACGGTGTTTTACTATTTTCTTGTTTTTCCCCCTAACTTTTGTCGTTGACTTATTTGTTTAATTTATTGTAGTGCCGTCGCAGCCTGTGGCTTCATCGGAAGGCTCCAAGATGCTGAGTGAGAGTTCGCATCCGATGATGCGTGCTCTAGTGGAGTATGAGGGCTACTTCCAGTTACAGGTCAGCCAGAGTGAGGTATTGGAGAGCAGTACTCGTGCCAATATTACTGCTAGTGAGCGTGGCGCACAAGAATTGCAGGTCCAGGAGCGAGCTATCGCTGCAGCCATCGCCAACCTGGATCTGTTTAAAACATCGATGATGAAACACTTTACACCGTTCTGGGCGGATTTCCAGGCTACGAACGAAAAACACGAGCGGCTGTTGAGCCAGTTTGACAGCTACCTGGAGGCGCTGGCTACAGTGGATCTGCACCCAGCACTGGCGACAGAAGAACGGAAGACTCTCTATGACTGTATCCCTGTTGAGAAGGAGCGTGAATGGGCGGCGCAGTGTGAGCAGTCGCACACGCATGTACGAGGACAGGTGCTGAAACTTCAACAAGTTCACGATGAGGTCTGCAAGGAAGTGACAGACATGCTGGCTGCTCATGCAGAGGCAAGTCGGGAGTACGAGGAAGCAAGTACAGAACTGGAAGAGATGAAAGCGCTGGGGAGTAAGCAAATGAACATCACAAACACCTTGCGCGGGAATCTACAGTACGTGCTCAGCAGCATAGAGGAAACGTCAACGATAGCGAGCGGAAGTAACCCTATGCAGGCGTCCACGAATGCTCTAGACGTATGTCGGCGCATCGATGAGCTGTATCAAGGCCAACAGAACATGGTAAGAGTTGATAACGATTTGTTACGTACCAATGGGTGATGCTTACAGCTTCTTGCTGCTCTGACAGGTGCCTGATGCACAGAAGTTGGTTGAGGATATCGTGGCTCATGTGGATAAGATCGCAGCCAAAAAGTCCAAGACGTTTGAACGAGTGCATTCAACTTTACGCCAAATTTCGATCTCACAGTCAAAGATCCGAGATTTTGAGAACTCACTGGCAGTTTTTCGCGAAGCTTTAGCTGCCCAGAAGAAGCACTTTTACGAACTAGAACATTTGGACAAGCTACCAGGTAAGGTTTATTGCTTTATATTTTGTCGCAGTCCTTAAAATCTGACTTGATTTGCATGGTAGAGTCGTATGCGGCTTGCTTGAAAGAGATATCAAGGCGTCTTAAATATGGACGAATGTTTTCGGATCGTATTCAGTCCATGGCTGAGGAACTTGCTCAACTTCGAGAGGATGAGGTAGGTATGACTGCAGTTTATTCGATCTATGCTCGTACTTACGCTGTGCTGCTAAGGTTCAACATCGTGAGGAATTTTTGCGCAGCTTTGGCCAGCATCTACCACGCGATTTCGTCTCTGGACTAGCAGAGAAGCCGTCTCATTGTGAATTCCGTATGCGTCCGTTTGATCAAAGCCTTCCTTTAATTGAGGACGAGGGCGAACAAGAGTTCGCCTCGTACGAAGACAAGGAGCGTCCGCCTTCTGAAGAATTTGTTGATTGCGAGGACCAGGGTAGCTCCTCCGAGTCAACCAACAACGTGGATCTACTCCAGGAACGCTGCAAGGAACTGGAAGCTCGAGTGTCGGAGCTCACAGCAGAGTTGGAGCAGTCAAAGAAGAATCTGTACTACGATGGATCTGGGAGCGAGTCGATTGCTCGCTCGGACTTATCCAAGACCAGTGCACGTGAGGGAGACAGTTCATGCGAATTCCCGTTGGTGCTTGCATTGGCAGCTACAGCTGGTGGCATGACCAGCTCCTCGGAAGTTGACCAGTCTAGCAGTCTTGACCAAGAGCTAGCCACCGTGAGGCGAAACATCGGTAGGAATGTTAAGTCGAGAGGTTAACTGTCTAGGTTTCAACTAAATTATATTGTCTGCAAGGCTCAGGTGCTGACAACAAGGACGCGATCATCGCCAAGCTGGAGGTGCGTATCTGCTGACCGATATGTATGTGGTTGATATGAGCTAACTCGTGCACATTCTTGACTTCTAGAGTGAAAACCAGCAGTTCTTGCTGAACGCGGCGGCCTTTGAAGAATATCCTTTACAACTTTTGATTTGCATGTGCCTGCAGTTGGAGGAGTTTATTTGGTTGACTTACCGAGGTTTCCTTAACCGTGTAATGCGTTGTTGTTGTGCTGTTGTGTTCTTTACGGAGATTCAGGAGCGATCAAAGCGCGAGAAGCATCTCAAGGAAAACCAATTCAAGCTCCAACAGACGATCAAGGATCTCAGTAGTAGTGTTCGATCACAGCGAACATCATTGGCCAAGCTTCTGAAACTTCTTCAACTCCCCGTGGAACCGCTCACCTTCAACGATGAGGACATCGACGCGTTCGTAATCGCCAACTTCGATGCTGTCGAAACGCGTGTGAAGGAGCTGCTGGCCAGCGCCGAGTCGGAAGCGGTAGGTGATGATTGCTTACGCCTAATGCCTGATCCATTTACTCAACGATGTTGTGCCATCCAGATGCTGCAGTCGGAACTGGAAAAGCGGCAGTCCGAGCTCCGTTTGATGGAGTCCGAGCAGGATGCAAACGATTCGTTCAAGATCTCCTTCCGGAGCTTCAGTGTAAATGACCTGGCACTCTTTTTACCGACGTCAGCACCCGGGAGTGACGCACAGCGAGTGTATCTGGCGTTCCACCTCGGCTGTCCCCATCGATTCCTTTCGGAAGAATCCATCTCCTCATTCAGCAACGACGGCCAAAGGTGCGATGATTATTAACATTTGGCCACTAAACTGTTTCCTTGCTAACCTTATACTATATTGCCAGATACCCTGACTACGTTGTAGGCCGCATCGTGCTGATTGATGAGCAGACCGCGACGGAAGGCAACAACCCGTACGCACTGCACCTCGGGACCACATTTTACGTCCTGACAGTCGCAAGCCTCCACGAAAGTTAAGCATCTACACAGACACATTAAAAATCTTGCCGCATAACGTGAATGAAATGTTCGGCGGTGAAGGCGAGCGTTTTCCTGTCCTTCCTGCAGAGCCAGCATGTACACTTTTGCCTCTTCGTCTTATCCTGCACTATACGTAGTTCTATACTCTTCGGTTGTTTTCTGTACCACCGAAACTTACAGTTTACAAGAGCACATTTCCAAAGTATCACCAC